CTATGATTTCTTAATTGGTGTAAATTACATAACTGATAAGTGATGTGCTGCATTTACTATAATGGTTCCAGAATTACTGTTACTAAAGATGTTTAGATAGAGTTAATAACAAACTTCTTGGATTGAGACATTAGGATTTTTTGTATTATTTTTACCTTTGTTTTTAACTTCTTGTGTAGAGTATAGTTAGTTAGTTATGGAATCAGGACTTTGACCAGGGTTTAAACAGAAACTCTCAAATTTTAAGTTCTCTGACTTGGTCTAAACAGAACCAGAACACTGAATTAAGGCTTGGAAAATGTTGCTCTTTTAAGCTGCTTTGGAGAGAACTTAGTGTTTTTATTTTGTTAGGCTACTTTATCTGAACAAACTTCGAATGTCCCTAAGTGATTTTTTAAACTTAGGTTGAGTACGTGAGCATACGAAGACTTTTTCCCCCTCTGTGTGGAAAAAAAAAATTTATACTTGTGGTACTGGGTTTTGTTTTTTTAAAGAGTTAGTACCATCCCTGGATAGTAATCTAGGTATCATTGTTTGAAGCTCTCTGTGAATTGTTATAAAAATCCAAGTGATGCCCTAAACCTGTGTAATATTCATTGGCTTTGAAAAAACAGTGGCCCATATTATAAATGGCCTTTAATTCCCTGTCTTTCTAGATGTTGCTGCTGAGGAGGAATGTAGATATTCAGGCCACTGCACATTTGCTTATTGCCAAGAAGAGATAGACGTCTGGACGCTGGAGCGAAAAGGGGCGTTCAGTAGAGAGGCTTTCTTTGGTGGCAGTGGAAAAGTCAACCTTACCGTATACAAACTTCTGCAAGAGCATCTTGGAGAATTTATATTCCTTTGTGAGGTGCTGTCTCCAAACCTTATTTTCTGCTGTAAAATTGGTGATAGTTTCTGACTTGCGAGGCCAGAAGTATAGAGTACTTAGCGCAGGTCCTGCCATATGATAAAGCAAGCATTCACTCGGCAATGGTAGCCCCCGTTATTATCCACAAGAATATTAAGACTTCAGGATGAATGTTGATTGGTATAAGTATATAATGTATAGGTATGTAATAATATTGAAACTAAGACGTATTCGGGGTACAAGTTATATTTTGTATTATATTTTTGTGATGATTTTTCTTCTCTGTCTATTCCAGAAATGTTTTGATCATAAGCCTAGAATGATCAGTAAAAGAAATAAAGATAATTCTACTTCTTGTTCTCACCCGGTTACAAAGCATGAGTTTGAAGACAATAAGTATGTTGGTAGTTTCTAATTTTTTTTTTAATTGGAGGGGAATTGGGGAAGGGGACCAGCAAAGTTGTTGTTCTTCATTCTTAGTTGTGGAGGGTGCAGCCAGCTCAGCACCAAGTCCAGTCGCCATCCGCATCGGGAGTGGCCACTCAGATTAAGGTGTCATGTTCAATCTTAGTTGCAGGTGGGTGTAGCCCACCATCTCGAACAGACAACCTTATTGTTAAGAGCACATGCTCTTACCAGCTGAGCTATCCTGCCACCTGTTGGCCGCTCAGCAGCAGCTCAGCTTGGGCACAGTTCACTGGCCCATGTGGGAATCGAACCGGCGACCCTGTTGCTCAGAGCTCGCGCTCTTAACCAACTGAGCCACTTGGCCGGCCCGGTAGTTTCTCATTTTTATAGTGACAAAATAGATTGTTTTCTTAGATCCGAATAAAACCAGATTAGTATCTCCCCAGGCACCGCTCCCCACTCCCTTTGTTGTTTTGAAAGATGATGACTATTTAAACATGTCTGTTAGTGGATTCGGCTGGGAATTTTTTAATGAATTATTAAATTGATTATTTAATACAGAAAAAAGCATTATTGATATTTAGCTTCTCATGACATGGATTGATGTGTTTTATGGCTTAACATATAATTACCCTCCACTTCCCCAGCAGTCGCATATAATGATTTATTTTTTCTGATAAAGATTTAAAATGTATTTTGAGTTTAGAACTTCACGTTTATCTATATCTATATCTCTATATCTATATCTGTATGTCTTTATATCTATCTATGTATTTAAGCTATGGCGGAACAATATTAAAATGGCACTCCATTTTCTTCTTAGGTGCCTTGTCCACATTTTGCGAGAAACAACAGTGAAATACTCCAAAATACGTTCTTTTCATGGTCAATGTCAGCTTGATTTATGTCGACATGAGGTTCGATATGGCTGTTTAAGGGAAGATGAGTGCTTTTATGCTCACAGTCTTGTAGAATTGAAAGTCTGGATATTGCAAAATGAAACAGGTAAGTGTGTGCCTGCCTGGGAAATGTCTTAGGAGCAGTCAGGGTTTGACAAAACCGTCTCAGAGACCCTTCTCCAGCACCCTGATGTGGCAACCCTGTTGATTTTGCCCTGAGCTTTGAACTGTGCAGTTACTTTTCATTTTCAGGGTGGCCAATTTTGAGTGTGGTCTCATGTCATTAATTGCCGGTACAAGGTCATGCAGGGAGTACGTTTTTGTGAGGAAGAAAGACTCCTCGGGAAGCACTAAGAGCTCTATTTGAAAATACTCCATTTTGAAAACGAGTCATATGATATTCATTCTCCCTTGGCAGTAGACTCCACTGAATGGGGATAATTGGGGAACTGAGTCTGACGGTGACCTGCTTGGTGGACTGTTACTATGTAGAGAACCTAAATGAAGGCATATTCATTTCCCAGGTATCTCACATGATGCAATTGCTCAGGAATCTAAACGATACTGGCAACAATTGGAAGCAAACGTACCTGGAGCTCAGGTATTTTCTCTTGTGCACTCTCTGCAGTGGGGATCTTTCCGGAACGGCCTCATGGATGTTAATTGTTGGCAGAGGCAGGTCACACTTGCGGTCCAGTTACTTTCTTAATGTTTATCGAGATGAGGAATTCTTAATGTGAAAAAAAAATTTCTGAATTTTAGTTGATTGTCGTAAAAAAACAGTCATCCCATAACTACCTGCCAAGGGTATAAGACACACTTTTCACATTCAGCTTAATCAGCAGAACAGTTGGGGCCTGGGAATTCTGGGCATAAGGGAGATGGATTGGGTTTCTAGTTTTGCTTCTCACCAGGCAAAATTGCTTTATCCACTAACCACCACCTCCTCACCCCCTTCCCCCAAATATATTCCAGTCATTAACTGCAGAGCCCACGTTCATAAACGGAGGTTTGGCATCTGTAATCTGCTTTTATTACCTTAAATTTGGGTGGAGAATTGGAGATTTAGTTATGAGATCATATATATACCGGTCGGATCATCAAACCAGACAAAAAGAAATTGTATGCTACTATAAAACAAACGCATGGCGATTCAGTATTTTATAAGAAACTGGTTTTGTGTTAAAATTAAAACTGGTCTTTTCATTGTTTAAGGTACTTGGCAATCAAATAATGCCTGGATCTCTGAATATGAAGATAAAATTTGTGTGTGCTCAGTGTCTGAGAAATGGGCAAGTCATCGAACCAGACAAAAACAGGAAATATTGTAGTGCGAAGGCAAGGCATTCGTAAGTAGTGTGTGTGCCAACAGTGCCTATTTTATAATAATTTATAATTTTATAGGTATAAAACTATACATATAAGAAAAAAGGTTAAGATTTTGAAGCAAGCAAAGTAGACAATTTAGGATTAATTACAAAGCAAATGGGAAGAGATTTTTAGGCTCTAGTAGCTAAGGATTCAACAAAATTCAATAGATTTTTCCTGTATTTTATTAGTTTTTTGTCGAGGAGTCATAGGGGATGTTTGTGTACAAATATCAACAGGAAATGAAGTGAATGAATCCTAAGGTATTTCTTTTAGAAGGATTGAGAGAAAAATATCTCTGGTCCTTTGTGTACGAGCTTTGTACCTGACCCTTTATATTATGCCTTTTGCCAGCGTGTCTTTGTTTTCTCTGAACTCCATTTTTCTTAGGTGGACCAAAGATCGACGTGCGATGAGAGTGATGTCTGTTGAACATAAGAAGTGGAGGAACATCCGCCCTCTCCCCACAAAGAAACAAATGCCTTTACAGTTTGATGTACATACGTAATTTTTTTTTTAAAGATTTTTATTGGGAAATTGGGGGGAT